TTTGAAACTTTTTAAAAGTTTATTTATTTATTTTGAGAGAGAGAGGGTGGGTGCACAAGCGGGGGACAGGAAGAGAGAGAGAGAGGGAGAGAAAGAATCCCAAGCAGGTTTTGCCCTGTCCACGCAGAGCCCAACATGGGGCTTAATCTCATAAACTGTGAGATCATGACCTAGGCTGAGATCAAGAGTTGGATACTTAACCAACTGAGCCACCCAGACACCCCATGAAACTCTTGAATAATAACGTATCCATACCTTAATTGTGAAAGTCAGTTTTTGGTAACAGGACTCAGAAACTCAACCAGATTGGGATAAATAACCAATAAGCAAAAAATAACAAACCTTCTTCATTTTGTCCCCCCACTCACAGTAAACTTTTCTTTGCCAGTCTGTGTGAGGTGAGTGGAAACTGATGGCTGTAGCAACTGTCCTGATGTCCTGCAACTGCATTAAGGATCCTTGGAACAACTACTCCAAACATAGGATTTTCACAATTCTGTTAAGTCCAGAAAGCCCTGTAAAAAGGCATTAAAATAATTATAAAATATAATTGTGATAGAACATAACGTAACAGAATTGATTTAATGTAATATAATGTAAACAAAGGAACTAACTGTGAAGGGAGGTACCATCTGTGTGATACAGGATGGAAGAATGGTCCTAGCTACTCCCCAAATTTCACATATTGGATCCCTGGCTACAATGTTATGGGTATTTTTACTTGAAAGGAGATTATCGAATTCCTGGACAATTAACTCTTCCATGGATTATTTACTTTTTGGATTATTCCTAGCACCTTTTAAATTCCAAAGGGATTTCCCCCAACTGTGAAGCCTTCTTCTGAGTCATCAACCCACCTTCAATTGGTAGGAGTTCAAGGAATGCAAATTCATTTTGTATTAGCCTAAACAAACACAATTAGAAAGGAAAATCCCTCGAGGCAAAAAACACCTATCAACGCCAGATATAAATTACCTTTGACCATTATAATCAGGGAAATAAATGAGAAACCAATGTAATTATCTTTTTAATCTCCAGAGGAAAATGTTTTAATGTTTTCTTTTATAGATTTCTTCAGCACTTTATAATCCTGGTGTTCTTTTACATTCATTTTAAATCACTGTTATTCAAGCTGAGCTCATTCTCTTTTTGTGGGCAGCAATGAAAGTAGATGAGCTAACCTCCGTCATTCTAAATGTAATTCCCATCCTTGCCAATGCACAGACATAATTTTATGCTTTTTAATTTAATTGTTTGCATATATATTCTTTTTACACTGATTTAACCCACATACTCATTATTTTTAACATCACTTTGATATTTTATAATAAGCTGCCATGTATAATGAGTCATAAATCCTATTAAGAATTTTATACATAGATTATTTAATCCTCACAACAACCCTACCATTTAGATATAATTATTCCTAATGTATAAATGAGGAAATTGAGAGGTTGTTAGTGGTGGAGCTGGAATTTAGCGATTTATTTCCAAAGAGTATTGGAAATAATAGAATACTGGAAGTAAGACTTCCAATAGTCTCGTTACCAAACCCATCATCAATCTGTAATGCCATCCTCTATTAGGCATTTTTGATTATTTCTGATTTTGTGCAGTGATGATAATATCTCATGAAAATTTTTTTGTAACCATAATCATCCTGGGTCCCCATGTGGCTCAGTTTCTACAGAACCACAGAGCACTGCCTATAAGTCATTTTAAAAATGAATTCCAATTTTCACTTTGTGTCTCAAAGGAAAATCACAGCAGAACCAGTTTAAAACTCATAGCAGTACTTCTCAGGTCTCCTTTTGTTAAACAACAGAAATTCAGCCGAGTAATTTAAAAGATCAAATTGGCTTTATTGAACAATTTGTGAATCAGGCAGCATCCTATGTAGCAGATAGGAGCTCCATCAAGCCGTAGAAAAGGAAAGGTTTTTAAAGGTAGAGAGGGAGCCTAAAAACAAAATTACTAGCAAAGAATGCATTGTTTTAGGCAAGGTTTTCTTCCTAAGTGGAATGGAAGGGATCCGTCAGTAAATTGCCTAGTACTAACCGGGAAATTCCATGTTGACTGGTTAAAGTTATATTCCTGGGGAATTTATGATACGCAATTAGGTTAGGTATTAAATCTTGGTTTGCTGAAGTGGGGCCCTTAACATAGGTGACTCCATTTTGGTACTGTGGTTTTCTAGTTAACACCTTCCTTCATTCCTCAGCTCTCTCGTTCTCTAATTGCTATCTAAGGCAATGAATGTCTGAACCCCCAAACCCCCAACAAGCCAAAACCTTACTGCTTTTCTTTCTCCTCACACTTCCCCTTTGGTTCTTTATTTTATAGACCAATGCAGCTTCTCAGGCATGGTCCTTCCCCTGGCCCCAGTCATTCTGGTCTGGCTTCTCTCTCTTCAATGTAATAATCCATCCCAAAAGGAAAGAAGTCCTGTATTGTGAGAGTTGGAAATATGGATTGTGCAGAAATAGGGATAGGAGAAATCAGGGAACACTCACACACGAATAGATTTTTATTCATTTATTTGTAAGTTGAGGTTTTGGGCTTTTTCTTCCCTGCCATGAGCACACCATAAAGGCCCCTACAGGAGTTGTGTCTTGACAATGTCAGGATTCCAAACTCAATGACAATTCACTACCCATTTAACTTGGCTTCATACATGTCACACAAAACAAAGCATAATACAGTCACCCAACAAAGAAGATACAACAGGGGGCAAGAAATTAATGAACCAAATGTGAAGTCAGTCAGTCCCTAAGTGCACAGTTAGGGTGAGGCCGCGGTCCCGTCTAGGTCCTCTCTCAGCTCACACTGCTTATTATGTTCAAAAAGTGGGAATCTCTGTTATGTTCAAGATCAATCAGTAGGGGCCTTTGGCAGCATTTGCCTTTCAAATATGGTCAGAAGTTGAAGGGGTAGTGCCTGGAGAGTCTGACAGTTTGCCGTAGAAATCCCCCCTTTTGAAAGGAGTTTAATTGGGGCGCGTGGGTGGCTCAGTTGGTTAAATGTGCGACTTCAGCTCAGGTCATGATCTCACAGTTTGTGAATTTGAGCCCCGTGTCAGGCTCTGCGCTGACAGCTCAGCTGCTTCAGATTCTGTGTCTCCCTCTGTCTCTGCCCCTGCCCTCCTTGTGCTTTGTATATCTCTCAAAAATAAATAAACATTAAAAAAAAATTTTTTTTGAAAGTTTAATCAGTCTTGGGCCTTTGCAGGCCTCTTCTGGTTCTAGTGATTATCAGCTCTTGGTTCTTCCAGGTTCTTATCAGTTCTTAGTACTTCCAGTCTGTGCCGGTTTGGGTGAAATCTGGTCTTAGCTGCAACACCCTTCGCTGCTTATGTCACTGTTTGACAGGAGTGACTCTATCTTGCTTACTACATTCACCCTCCCGTCCTTGAATTATAGTCTGCAAACTGAGATTCCTGGGTCATTAAATAGATCTATAATAGTGAATAGTTTTTGATTAAGAAGTATTCTTGCCAGGGTGCCTGGGTGGCTCAGTTGGGTAAGCTTTCAACTCTTGATTTCAGTCCAGGTTGTGATTGCATGGTTCATGAGATCAAGCCCCACATCGGGCTTTGTGCTGCTGGTGTGGAGTTTGCTTGGGATTCTCTCTCTCCCTCTTTCTCTGCCCTTCACCTGCTTGCATTCTCTCTCAAAATAAATAAGCATTTTTTTAACTTTAAAAAAATAAGTATTCTTGCCAATTAAATATAAATACATATGACTATAATGAAGTTGATTTGTCATGCTTTATATGCCTTTTTAGGTAGTGTATTTTATGATTACAACTAAAGTTCCTTATAAAATTCTCATTACTTTATGATGACTGTAATAAATACCTATACATGAAATGCAATAGTATACAGAATACAGGTAGCCCCAAACTTTCCTATTTCTCTTCTCTAATGGGCTAAGGGAAAAAAAGACAGATTTAGACTCTGGTAAACTGACTCATTCAATTGGTAGATGTTCCCATAAGAGCCTTTCTCTGGGTTTTGGCCAGCCCTCAAATTCTTACCTTTCATCAGTCATTGATCTTGGAACTGATTAAGGGTTATCTCTGGGGAAAATTATGAAGTAACCAAAGCTTTTGTTTGGCATGCCTCCAGATTACTCTGGCATCTACTTCCTGTCTCTGGCAGTCTTTTTTCCAGGTCCTCTTATTGACATTTTCTCTCCAGTCAATCATTTACACATTACTGGGGCTTTAACCCAATATACTCCCCTTCTCAGGGATATTTGCATATTTTACCTTATCTCCAATTGTGAGTGCAAAGCCTTGTTTCTGATCCTGGAGTTTGGCACTAATGAGCTAATATAGAAACTCTGGTGGGAAACGGGCTGCCCAGGTGCCTTCTCTTGAAATTGTATCTTTAAGTATATATTTTCTCAGTTTACAAATATGGCCAGCTCCCAACTTACTGATCTTATATAACGGCAAGTTCTGAGGTCGAGTGCACTTCTGTGTATGCACTCAGGTCTTGTACACGCTTGCATGTATAAATGTGAGAAAGACAGGTAAGTGGCAAAACATCAATTTACTAATTAGGGGAAGAAGTACATGCTATTCATTAGTAATAAAATATGAAACTTACTTTCTCTGCCATTCTTCTCTCTTCCTCTAATGAATCTCTGGTATCAGACTGAACCTGGAGGGTTTTTTCTTTCTTTTTTCCAGTTTGACAAATGGACAGACTCTCAACGGAGAAGAATCTTGACAGGCCTGTTAGAACGTTGCTCCCTGGCACAGCAAAAGTTCTGCTGTCGAAAGCTTCAGGAAAAAATTCCAGCAGAAGCTCTGGATTTTACTACCAAGCTTCCAAGGGTGTTATCTTTATACATCTTTTCTTTCCTGGACCCCCGAAGCCTTTGTCGTTGTGCACAGGTAAAGGCAAAGAATTAGTGTCCAACATTTTATAGTGATAGCCTAGAAAACTCTAAAATGAGAAGGAAAAAAAAACACATGCACAAAACCAAGAAATAAGATGAGATGGTCAATATATTTAGTCTATATAGTTTGAATTAATCCCCATCTTCTTTGTACCTAACTCTGTATTTAGTGCTCAAAAGTAGATATAAAATAATGTAAGACATCATTAGTATCCACAGAATAGTATCTGCTGGTTGGGGAGACAGATACACATATATGAAATGGTTCATCAGCAGGATAGTCTTACAGTGCATAGCATACAACTAGGATAAAATTCTAAATTGTATGGTACAGGCCATTCATAAACAGAAGAGCTCAAAATAAGGTGCTAATGAGGTATGTACCAAAGACTATGAGAGTAAGAGTTCAGAGTGAGTAGACATGCTTCCAGTGGCCTTGGAAAAGGGGCTGCTGTTTTTTTTATAAGTAAATCCACCATGTATTAAAGTATACTTCAGTCACTTATGAGATAAACTAGTAGCCATTTTATTAAGTGTTTCCATAGAGGTTGGTAACACTAGAAGTTACTAGTCACCATGCATTCACATATGTGTAACATGTTAACTTTAGTTTTTAAAGTTAAGAAGATGGATGCAGTAAGAAAGATGAATTAATAAATGGTGTTAGGACAATTGGGCAGCTATCTGAAAAAAGTATTCTAGTAGGATAAAAGATTGGTATGAAATCAAAGGAAATCATAAAATACTCAAAGAAAACATAAGGAAGGAGGGCTTTGTGAGTATTCTATAATACCCAGAAGCTTTTAAAGAAAATACACAATTTAGGGGCACCTGAGTGGCTCAGTCACTTAAGCCTCCGACTCTTGATTTCGGCTCAGGTCATGATCTCACATGAGTTTGAGCCCCTCATTGGGCTCTCCACTAACAGGCTTTCTTGGGAGTCTCTCTCTATCCCCCCCCCCTCAAAATAAATAAATAAACTTAAAAAAAAAAGAGTATCATATAGCTATATGATGAATTACTGTGGGAACATTAGAAAACATGTTTTCAAAACACAAAGATGCTAATAATATGTAAAATGAAGAAACACAATTTAAAATTGTGTATATAGAGTTTCCCAATTTTGTTTCACAATGCCTAGAAAAAAAAAAAGAACTCTGTCAGGTTGTTAATAAAGGTAATCTCTGATTTATGGGGTTATGGGTATTGTTTTTCTTTTTAAATGATTTTATTTTATTTTATTTTATTTATTTATTTATTTATTTATTTTTTGAGAGAGAGAGAGAGAGAGAGAGTGAGCACACAGGGGGAAGGACAGAGAGAGAATCCCAAGCAGGCTTCAGGATGTCAGCGCAGTCTCTTTCTTAGGACTCAATCTCACATGGGATCACCACCTGACCCAAAATCGAGACACTTAACTGACTGAGCCACCTAGGTGCCCTGGGTATTATTTTTCTTTAAACTTCTTGGAATTTTTCAAATTTTGCACACTGAGACTGTTTTCATTTGAGGGAAATGTTATTTGAAATCACTAATCCTATCATATATGTGTACCATATGTCAATCTTACAAGATCCTGGCATTATGTTTTTTTCCCAGTACTGACTGTGAAGAAAACACAGGCAGTTGTTCTTCAGCTAGATTTAAACAATAATGTCATTGCACTAAAATGAGCTTTGAGTTGTTTAAAAAGATGGAGGCAGGAAGGGTCTGATAATTTTGAAAGCTCCTACCCTCCTACCTACTCTTCAATTTGCCTCATTCCTGTCTACCTTAAAAACAAGCAAAAAAACACCAAAGAGCAAAAACAAAACATACCAAAACCTTATCTACCCCCGGGGAGTGGGGGGAGGGAGGGAAAAACTTGATACCCAGCTCAAAACAAGATGTAAGGAAAGTGAGGGAAAGAGTGAGAATTGAGATATTTTTCTCCTCATCTCATCCCTCCGAAACCCCACCTCTCCACTGAATTCTGAGTTAATGAACCATATGGGGATTAAGGTTGCTGTTGTTTCATTTCTGCATTGAACAAAGTAGATGTGATTTCTGTTCCTGCCTGCAGGGCTCTGTCAAATTTTCTACCCTTTTTCATTCTTCCAGCTCCTGAACCTGTTATTTCTTGTAATTGTGCCCTCCCCTCTCCTGTTTGTCTCCTCTTCAGCCCAGAAAACAATGCTAAACATAATGGAACTCAGTACTTGGTAGATGGAAGGAGGAAGAGAGGGCTAGATAAATGGATGGATGAATAGTATAGTGTTCTGCCTTTGTGTGTGTGTGTGTGCTCAAAAATTATTAATGACTTAATCTTGAAAAAGCGACTAATTTCCCAAGGTTGAAATTTAGGTTTGAAGGTTAGATGTTGTCTTTGCGACTCTTACAACACAGCACAGAACCCCTGGGCTGAACTTTATATATGAACTAGCTTTCAGCAAGACTTGTTCAAAATCTGAAGTAAGTTACTATAAATACTGCTGCACCATAGTAGGGTCATCTCCAACACTTGCTGGATGTGTGAGAATGACCAGAATGCCATGGGAATGGAATGTAGAGAATAAACAGTGTATGCTCTATGGAATCTTAAAGGCTACATAGGGCACACCATAAGATATCAGTAATTACGTTCTATTTATAAAATTTCTATTTAGTTAAATCATAAGAATGGAGGGAAAATGGAAGCATACCAAAAAATGAGTAAATAATATGCAGACCTGAGTTTCTATAACCCTCCTATAACTTTCATATGAACTTCTAGGAAGTTCCAAAGTCTATTTGAGCCACGGTTGCCTTGTTTGCAACATGAGAGTAGTAATAACACCTACCTCTTTAGGTTGCTGTGGGGATGGTTAATAGGTACTCAATAAATATTAGTTGACTCTGAATCTAAGTGTGATTTAACATTTACAGAAAATCCTCCTGCCTAGGTAGAGAGCATTTCAGGTAGATAATTATTTAAGTTGTGATTTGCAGGAAAAGAACAATAGAGTTATCTCAGGTCCAGAGTGACAGCTCAAGACCTAGAAAAAAATGGGCATGTAAACTGAGTTAAGTTTTTTTTTTCTTTCCAATTACTTTTTTTCAGGTGAGCTGGCACTGGAAGAACTTAACTGAGCTGGATCAGCTCTGGATGCTCAAATGTTTACGATTTAACTGGTACATCAATTTCTCTCCAACTCCCTTTGAGCAGGGTATATGGAAGAAGCACTACATTCAAATGGTAAAAGAACTTCATGTTACCAAGCCTAAGGTATATTTGGGACGAAAAGCAACAAATATACAAATATCAGCTATTTAGGAATACCAGAGGGGAGATGGATGGGGAAGGGGCGGGGAATGAGTTAAACAGGTGATGGGGATTAAGAAGGGCACTTGTAATGAGCACCTGGTGTTGTATGTAAGTGTTGAATCACTATATTGCACACCTGAAATGAATATTACACTGTATGTTAACTAAGTGGAATTTAAATTAAAACTTAGGGGCACCTGGGTGGCTCAGTCGGTTGAGCGCCTGACTTCGGCTCGGGTCACGATCTCATGGTCTGTGAGTTTGAGCACAGTCTGGCTCTGTGCTGACAGCTCAGAGCCTGGAGCCTGCTTCGAATTCTGAGTCTGTCCTCCCCTGTTCTCACTCACTCTCTCTCTCTCTTTCAAAAATAAATAAACATTAAAAAAACTTTTTTTAATAAATTAAAACTGAAAAAAAAAGGGAATTCCAGAACTAAGACTAAATGATCAAACTTGAAGTTGGGGAGGGGACTTGGTTGAAAGGAAGTACACTATTAGGTCAAAATTTTCCTTTTCTGAGAACTTGATAGCCTTGTTCAAGACATCCATGCTAGTTGAGAGTCCTCATGGGACACTCCCCAAACCACAGTTCCACCCAGGAGGCTAGGACTGCGTAACTCCTCATTCTGTTCAGATTCCTGGATTTCTGTGTCTCTGACTCACACACCAAACAATTCTGACACTGAGACTCTGTGGAGAATGTGCAATATTTGCTATCAAAGGGTCATCAAATTTTACTTTATCAATTCAAATTTTCTGATTCTATCAGGTGAGCTAAAGTTTATTTGTGTATCATTTACGAAGAAAAGTTTTCCAATCTGTAATTATGGAAATGAGTAATGAGTATACTAAAGTTCTTTTTAATCCAGAAACTAAGCAATGTAAAGCATTTACATATGATCATAAAAAGTAAATAATGCAGGAATAATTTTTCTAGTTGTTTTGTCTGCATTATAACCAATGTTTATGTTCATTCTTATAGTCACAGTTAATTAGATAACTCATGGGAAAATTTTATGAGCCTTTTCTTTATGGTGTGATCTATACACACGCAGAGTTGTGCATCGTTTTATACAATAGATGAGTTCCTGAAAATTATGTGTAAATTAAATTTTTTAAATGATTTTTAAAACCACAGGGGTATCATATCCTGTGAAAAAATTGCAGTGAATCCTTTTAAAATTGAAGAATCCTTTTGAAAGATTAATAGTCAGCTCCTAACTTGTTCATTTAGCTTTAGTTTTATTGTTTTAAAGTAGAATCCATCTACATTTAATATAGTAATAAACTATGCATAATTAATATTGTTACAATTGCAACGATAAAACTAGTCTTTCAGATTTCAGTAATGGGTGTGCTCCATGAGGCTTTCTTTTAAAAAATAAAATTTAAGTTGCAGTGATGGAAGAAGTTATTTTCAAAATTACCATGGCTGTGACTTCTTTTCAGATCTGATAAGGCTTTTCTTGACTCTCATTTTCAGTTGGGGGCAGGGAATGTCATTCAATAGCTGAAGCTTGGGCAGTTCTGGGGCAGAGAAGAGAAAAGTGATTAACCAGTTTGTAGAAGAAAAGAGGTTTTGAGTAGTACTTATAAAACTGACTTTACAGCTTTGTCTTTAGCAATAATTCTTTTCTATAAAATATGTATAACTGTATTTAAAAATAATGAAGAGTTCTGATGAGAGAAAGTTGCCACCTCTTTGCTTAGTATTATATTTCTTAGCAAACACTTTGTTATATTAAACTTTAATTTTTCTGCTTGATAAATAGACCTAAATCAGAACGACAAAGGTTAATAAAATCTACAAATAAACTTATTGATTAAAGAAATAGACCTTGGGGCACCTGGGTGGCTCAGTCGGTTGAGTGTTCGACTTCAGCTCAGGTCATGATCTCGCAGTCTGTGGGTTCGAGCCCCGCGTCAGGCTCTGTGCTGACAGCTCAGAGCCTGGAGCCTGCTTCAGATTCTGTGCCTCCCTCTCTCTCTTCCCCTCCCCTGCTCATGCTCTGTCTCTCTCTGTCTCAAAAATAAATAAAGACATTAAAAAAAATTAAAAAAAAAAAAAAAAGAAATAGACCTAAGTCAGAAACACTGAAGAGTCATGTGATGAAGGTTAATAAAGTTATGTGACTAAGGTTAAAAAGTCAACTGTCAGCACCATACATACTTGAGTAATTTGTGTAGTTTCCTGTGAGGTTACTTCAGTGATGGTGAACGTAGGCAGCCACTGGAGTTTACCTTCACTCAAGCACCTCCCCCTTCCACCTCCCCCCAACCCCCAGTACCTTGTACCTGGCATGTGCTTCAGCAGAGCTTTTGAAAGCATTTTATGAGCAAATGGTTGTGGTTAATATTAGTTTCCTCAAGCTTAACATGAAGACTGGACTAGAATGATCTTTGTAACTATCTGCAAGGCTCTGCTATCCACCCCACACAATGTAATTTCAAAAAGACTCAATCTAGAAAAGGAAGAGTAAGCTGAACCCAAAGTAGATAGAAGGAAGAAATAATAAAGGGCTAAGATCAATGAAATCAGAGTAAACAATAGAGAAAAATCAGTAAAACCAAAGCTGCTTCTTTGAAAACATAAATAAATTTCATAAGTTTCTAGCTAGGCTGATCAAGGAAAAAAAGAGAGAAAACATTCATTACTCATAACAGAAATGAAAGAGGGGGCATCAGTACAGATCCTGTAAACATGAGAAGAATAATGAGAGAATACTATGAATTAGTCCACATCACTAAATTTGACCACTTAGATGAAACACAATTCTTGAAAATACAAATTACAAAAAGTCTCAATAGGAAATAGAAAACATGAATAAATGTTTATCATTTATGAAATTGAATTCATAATTTTCCATAAAACTCTAGACCCAGATAGCTTCATTGGTGAATTCTATCACAGATTAAAGGAAGGAATACTAATTCTTTTTTTTTTTTTTTTTAATTTGAGAGAGAGAGCATGAGCAAGTGGAGGGGAGGGGCAGAGGGATAGAGAGAGAATCTCAAGCAGACACCACACTCAGCATGGAGCCTGATGCGGGGCTTGATCCCATGACCCTGGGATCATGACCTGAACTTAAATCAAGAGTCAGACACTTGGGGCGCCTAGGTGGCTCAGTTGGTTGAGCAGCCGACTTTGGCTCAGGTCATGATCTCGCAGTTTGTGGGTTTGAGCCGTGTCGGGCTCTGTGCTGACAGCTCAGAGCCTGGAACCTGCTTCGGATTCTGTGTCTCTCTCTCTCTCTCTCTCTCTCTCTCTCTCTCTCTCTCTCTCTGCCCCTCCCCTGCTCATGCTCTGTCTCTCTCTGTCTCAAAAATAAATACAAACATTAAAAAAACATTTTTAAGAGTTGGATGCTCAGGGGCAGCTGGGTGGCTCAGTCGGTTGAGCCTCCAACTTCAGCTCAGGTCATGATCTCGCAGTCCAGGGGTTTGAGCCCCATGTCAGGCTCTTTGCTGACAGCTTGGAGCCTGGAGCCTGCTTCTGATTCTGTGTCTCCATCTATCTACTCCTCCCCTGCTTGCACTCTGTCTGTCTCTCTCTCTCTCAAAAATAAACATTAAAAAAAAAAATTAGATCTTTAAAAAAAAAAAAAGAGTTGGACGCTCAGCCAACTGAGCCACCCAAATATTAATTCTACACAAATTCTTTTATAAAATGGAAGACAGGAACACTTCCCAACTCATTACCTTTATACCAAAACCAGATAGAACCTTTATAAGAAAACAAAACAAAACCCCAGACTAATGTCCCTCATGAAAACAAACATAAAAATCCTTTAAAAATATTAACAAATTAAATCAAGTTATTTATAAAGAAAGAATAATACATGATGATCAAGTGGGATGTATCCATGGAGAGTAAGGTTGGCATAATATTAAAAAATTAACCAATGTAATTCACGGAATAAAAGAAAAAAAGATGTATGATCATTTCAGTATATGCAACAAAAGCATTTAACAGAAGTTCAACATCCACTCATGATTTTAAAAATTCTCAAAAAGGCTTTAGGTGAACAACATTTTGTTTACTTAATACAGAAAAGTATCACAGTTTCTATTCTGTTTTGTTAAAGAGTCAAACATTTTGTTACTTTTCAGAATGAATAATGTTTGTATAAAATTACTAACACACTAATTTTCTGCCTGAAATTGTTTATTGTTGTGTATTATTTATTCCCAGTAGTATTAAATAAGGTCTTCTTCAGCAAAAACAGACAGATTCTGTTTGATATAAGCTCAGAGAAATGAAATGAATGACCATTCTAAATGAGACCTGAAGAAAATATTGAATACTAAACCAATAATGAGCTATCAATTATATAAATATGAAAGGTCTTCTTAACAATCATTCATTAAATTAGTAAATATTTATTAAGTACTGTTACATGCTGGGTGCTGAGTATAAGGGTCCTAACCCTGCTTTCAAGGAGTCTAGTCTAGTGGCCTAGGACATAAACAAATACATAATTACAACACGGAGTAATACATGCTATTCTGTAATAGAAATGTATACAATGAACAGTTAACACAAGGATAAGAAACTAACTGATTCTGCTTGAAGAGATTGGGGAATTTCTTAATTTTCACCAACAATTCAAGCAAACCAATTTACCATGCAAAGCTTTCCTAATCTCTTAAAGAACAAAAATTAAGCCTTTAATGGCTTCTCAACATACCATTACCACTTCCCTTAGGTTACAACCACATAAAAAACCTTATGAATTTCACACACAAAAATAGACTTTCAATTTGGGAAATTAAAGCAAAAGTATTCTTTGGGAGCAGTAAAGGTTTTGAAAACCGATAAAATCTATAGTTTACCCCCCATATAACTCGAAGTTGTCCCTGTGTGTTATAGATAATTAAGCCTGGAGTACCTTTTTTGGAATGTGTACATTTTTAGGAATAAGTTAACTGCAATTGTGGAAAAATTATACAATGATGTGGTAGAAGAGGTGGCAGTACAGGATAGAGAGGTTTAGAGCAAGGACTTGAAAGCAAGACAGTCCTAGATTCAAATTCTGACCCTTTGGGGTCCCTGGGTGGCTCAGTCCATTACGCATCTGACTTCAGTTCAAGTCACGATCTCACAGTTCATGAGTTTGGGCCTCGCATAGGGCTCTCTGCCATCAGCATAGAGTCTGCTTTTGACCCTCTATCCCCCTCTCCCTCTGATCTCTCCTTCCCCTGCTTGCTCTCTCTCTCTCTCTCTTTCTCTCAAAAATGAATAAACATTAAAGAAAAAAAATTCTGACCCTCTGTCTTACTACTTATGTAATAGTGGGCAAGCTCATTGGTTTATCCTATCTTCAGTTTCCGCTTCTGTAAATGAGAGTAGTAACTATTACCTTTTAGAGTTATTATGAAGGTTAAATAAAATAATGCATGAAAACTTCCTGAGAAAGTACCTGACACATACAAGTACTCCTGGATTGGTGGCTGCTGTAATTATTATCACCATTATCATTGCAGTTGGGGCGATGGTGATGATGATGGTGGTGGTGTTTTGTTTTTTGTTGTAATTATTATGATGTTTTAAGAACAGAAGTAATTTTCTTCTTCTAGACACCTCCAAAAGACAGGTTTGCGGTTGCTGACATTCAACCAGTTACAAGCAGTTCTCCAGAGGAAAAGCAGTTTCCAGCATCCGCTTTCCGGTCCTCTTCCTCTTTGAGAAAGAAGACTCATGGGGAGAAAGAACTCCCACCCTGGCGATCCTCCGACAAACATCCAACTGATATCATTCGCTTCAATTACCTGGACAACTGTGATCCCATTGTGCAAATCTGGCAAGGGTGAGAAGCTCTGTGCTCTTTTCTACTTACTTGCCATTAGACACAATTTGCTGGCACTTCAGTATAGGAAAGGATGAAAATAAAATTACTGTGAAAAAAAATGCTTTTCAATGAATAGAAGCAAAAAGTAATTGGGAAGTAAACCATTATTGGTAAATTTGCCTTGTTCATTAGGTTTTGTTTGCATTTTGTAGCTCTTATAATTTCACATTACAGCTTCTTTTGATATATATATTTTTTAATGCTTATTTATTTTTGAAAGAGAGAGAGACACAGAGCATAAGCAGAGGAAGGACAGAGAGATTGGGAGACACAGAATTCGAAGCAGGCTCCAGGCTCCGAGCTGTCAGCACAGAGCCCAACACGGGGCTCAAACTCACGAACCATGAGATCATGACCTGAGCCAAAGCTGGACACTTAACCGACTGAACCACCCAGGCGCCCCTTCTTTTGATATTTTAATACTTCAGATTTCAGTCTAGCACCATAGAGTTCATTCTGGTCTTTTCCTTTTCCATATTTACACCTCCCTTCTCTGACAGTGAGAAACCAGGCTCTCATATTTATTTATGCAAGTTATATATGTACATATATAATTTTGATTATATACTATATATATAATTTATATAAAAATTGCATACTATACACACACACACACACATATACATGAACAGTATGTATTTACTTACAAATACTGAAAGTAATTTTAAAATTGCTAACCTATTTCATTATTAAAACAAATCTGCTAACTAGACAGTATTTGCTTATGGTTCTTTTTTTTTTAGTGTTTATTTTTGAACAAGAGAGAGTGCAAGCGAGGGAAGGGCAGAGAGAAAAGGAGACACAGAATCCAAGGCAGGCCCTAGGCTCTAGGCTCCAACCTGTCAGCACAGAGCCCAACATGGGACTCAAACCCACAAACCATGAGATCATGACCTGAGCTGAAGTTGGACGCTTAACCAACTGAGCCAGGCAACCCTGTTTATGGTTCTTTTTGACTTTAGTCTGAGGGCATATATTCATAACACTGTGTTCAAAAGTTATGTGGGTTCTTTTTTTAAATATCTCCCTTCACTGTGGTTTGTTACGTAGTTCTAAAGTTCAAACTACATAAAAGCAAACAAGAAGTGGGGCGCCTGGGTGGCTCAGTAGGTTAAGCCTCTGGCTCTTAATTTCGGTTCATGTCATGATCCCAGAGTTAGTGAGATCAAACCCTAAATCGGGCTCTGTGCTGACAGCATGGAGCCTGCTTGGGATATTCTCTCTCTCCCTCTCTCCCTCTCTCCCTCTCTCCCTCTCTCTCTGCCTTCTCCCCCCAGTAAATAAATAAAAACTCTTTTTAGGGGCACCTGGGTGGCGCAGTCGGTTAAGCGTCCGACTTCAGCCAGGTCACGATCTCGCGGTCCGTGAGTTCGAGCCCCGCATCGGGCTCTGGGCTGATGGCTCAGAGCCTGGAGCCTGTTTCCGATTCTGTGTCTCCCTCTCTCTCTGCCCCTCCCCCGTTCATGCTCTGTCTCTCTCTGTCCCAAAAATAAATAAACGTTGGAAAAAAAAAAAACATTATAAAATATTAAAAAAAAAAAACAAAAAACAAAAAAACTCTTTTTAAAATGTATACGGAAAGTGCACAAAAGGTATACTCAGAGAAGTGCCCCACCCCCACCTCTTCCATTCCTCTCCCACCCTGTCATCTTTTCCACCCCTTTCCCACTAACAAACCTAATTATTTTACCATTTTTCAACTATCTGATTGGCAAACAGTTTAAAGGTTGACAATACATTCTGTTGGTGAGGCTGTGGGCAAACAGGTACCTCATACATTGCTAGTAGGAATATAAATTGGCACAAACCTTATAGAGGGATATTTGACAATTACCCAGCAAAAATACATATGTCTTTACATTTTGACCCCAAAATCCCACGTCTAGGAATCAACCTTGAAAATAGGAAAAGTAGGGGCACCTGGGTGGTTCAGTCAGTTAAGTGTCTGACTCTTGATTTTGGCTCAGGTCGTGATCTCATGGTTAGTGAGTTTGAGCCCTGTATCCGGCTCTGTAGCGTGGAGCCTCCTTGGGATTCTCTCTCTCCCGTTCTCTCTCTGCCCCTCCCCTGCTCACACTTTCTCTCTTGTCTCTGAAAATAAATAAACTTTAAAAAAAGAAAATATGAGAAGTAGATCTGTATAAGGATATTTATTGCAGGGGTGTTTCCTATTTTAAAGTATTGGGAATAACTTAAATTTTCATACATGGAGAATGTCTGTTGAATAAACTGGGTATGGTCCATTCACACAATGGAGTACTAGGCACATATGAAAATGAGGAAGAGCTCTCTGAACCGATTGGCAGTAAGAAGGTACGTTGTTAAGGGAGAGAGGCACATTTCAAGAGAGTATCTGTAGTATGCCACCCATAGTACAGAAAGAAGAGAAAGTAAGAAAATATACATCTGTGTCTGTATATACACATGTATCTGTTAATATACACATACATACATGTTTACAGGATAAATAAGAAAGGAAATAAATTTTGGAATGTTTTGTAATGTTTTAATATGTCTGCTATGTTTTCAGAATATATTTAAACAGATTAACATCAAGGCAGCATAAGATAGTGAAAGTGTACAGGCTCTGGAGCCATACTGCTTGGGTTCAAATCCAGACTCCCACATTTCTAGCTTTGTGATCCTGGGGAGTTCCGTAACTTCTCTGTGCCTTAGTTTCCACACCTGTAAACTGGCAATAATAGTAATACCTAGCTCACAGGATCCCTGTGAGGTAATCCTCATATATGCAACATGCTTACAAAAGCGCCTAACACGTAGTAAGTAAGCACTTCTTTTGTAGGATGGTTTACTCAAATTATATTATGTGGCTATAGTAAAAGAAAGGGTAATCCCACAAAGTCTGCTGAGTTGGGGACATTCAGATTACTTGTGTATTTTCTATTTTCAGGACTACTCAAGTCCCTTTGGAGGTGAGATGAGAGTGGTATCCCAAATTAGGCAAGAATCAAGCTCTTTGAGGGTGCAGACCATGTGCCTTACTCATTTTTATATCATCACTGACTAGCTTTGCAATACTCATTAACTGATTTTGCAAGAAGTGTAGCCTTTCTGTTCATAAACTTTAAATTTTAGTTGCATCAGAAAAAAATCTAATTGAGTTGCTAATAACTTAGAAAGTACTGGGCAAAAAAAAAAAAAAAAAAAATAAAGGTACAAAAAAGAGTTTAAGGAGTGCCTAGGTGGCTCAGTTGGTTGAGCATCCAACTCATAATTTCAGCTCAGCTCATGATCTCATGGTGGCAAGATCAAGATTGAGTCCCATTTTGGGCTCCACACTGGGCATGGAGCCTGCTTGAGGTTGTCTCCCTCCCTCTCCCACTCCCCCTCCCCCACTTGCATGCACGCACACTCTCTCCCTCAAAAAAATAAAATAAAACAAATTTGGGGGGCACCTGGGTGGCTCAGGTGGTTAAGCGTCCAACTCTTGGTTTCAGCTCAGGTCATGGTCTCACGGTGTTCATGGGTTTGCTGTGCTGACAGTATGGAGCCTGCTTGGGATTCTCTGTCTCCCTCTCTCTCTCTGCCCCTCCTGCATGTGCTCTCTTTCTCACTCAAAAGTAAATAAATAAAAATTAAAAAAAAAAAAAGCAGAGTTTAAAAGAAATACTACCATTTATATTAAAATGGGTGGGAGGGTGCCTGGGGTGGCTCATTTGTTAAGCCTCTGACTTTGGCTCAGGTCATGATCTCACAGTTCATGAGTTTGAGTCCCACATCAGGTGAGCTTGAGCCCTGCTTCTCTCTCTGTCTCTCCCTCTTCCTCTGCCCCTCATGGGATTCTCTCTCTCAAAAAAAAAAAAAAAAAAAAGGGGGGGGGAAAAAAAATATATATATATATATATATATATGTGTATATATATGTGTATATATATATATGTGTGTGTATATATGTGTATATGTGTATATATATATATATACACACACACATACATACATATACATATATCCATAAAATATCTATACATAAAGTATCTTTGGAATATACACAAGAAACTGATACTATATTGTTTGCCTTCAAGGAGAACTGTAAGTTGGAGACAAGAATAGATGGAAAAAATTTTACTGTACATCCTTTTGAACTCTTGAATTTTGAATCATTGTGAATGTATTGACTATGTATTGATCAATGTATTCCTGAAGATAGTATTTAAGAGTTTGTGTGTGGCCCTTATACTGGACTATGGTGGTAAATAGGAGAGAGACAAACTTAGATACCCAGGCATATGAATGGTACATTAACATGAGATAAACTGATAATGTCCTGAGTTTTCTGTGAAACTCAGATACCATTTATGAAAGGCAATAATCACATTAAGTGTTAATGCACTGAACACCCAATTAAAAGGCAGAGATTATAGAATGGGTAAAAAGACAAGAACTGACCATATACTTTTTACAAGAGACACACCTTAAATACAAAGACACAGATAGGTTTAAAAGTGAAGTGATGGAAAGAGATGTGCCATGCAAAGAGTAAGCATAAGAAGGCTAGGATGACCACTAATATCAAATAAAAGAGCCATCAGGACAAAGAGTATTACCAAAGATAAAGAGGGACATTTCATAATGATACAGGGGTTAACTAAAGAGGAAGATATAACTGTTACAAATGCATATCTACTTAATTACAAGGCTCAAAGTACTTAAGAGAAAAATTGATGGATCTTAAGAGATAAATAGACAATTCCATGAACACCCTTTTTTAAGTGCATGTGCTACATTCACCAAGACAGACACAATGCTTGGACTCTTCAAAAAGTCAGTGCCATGAGGAAAAAAAAGAAGTGGGAAAAATGTTCTAGACATAAGAAACATAACAACCAAATGCAGTTTGAATCTATATAGGATTCTGATTAAAAAAAAAAAAAAAAAAGACTGGGGTGCCTGGGTGGCTCAGTCGGTTAAGCATCCGACTTCAGTTCAGGTCATGATCTCACAGTTTGTGAGTTCAAGCCCTGCATCAGGCTCTGTGCTGACAGCTTAGAGCCTGGAACCTGCTTCATATTCTGGGTCTCCCTCTCTCTCCCCCTCCCCTGCTCACTCTGTGTCTCTCTCTCTCAAAAATAAATAAACATTAAAAAAAAAAAAAGACTATAGAAGACATTCTTGGAACAATTGCAGAAATTTGAATATGAATTGAATATTAAATGATATTAAAGAATTACCATTCATTTTCCAAAGTATGATGACACTAATGTGGTTAGGTAGGCAAATACTCTCTGAGGAGATGAGTATTGAAGTATTTAGGGGTGAAGTGTCTGTAATTTATTTTCTTACAGTATGGGAAAAATGCATACATACATATATATACACACATACATATATACGTGATGTGTGTATCTATATATATGTATCTATATAGAGAGAGGGATAAAGCAAAAATATCAAAATGTTAGTAATTGTTGAATCTAGTTGGAGAGTATATGGGTAATCAGTGTGCTATTCTTTCAAATGTTCTTTATATTCAAAAGTTCTTAATTAAAAGTTGGGGGACATTTTTGAAAACTAAGCAACAAGAAATATTTGAGCAAAGCTGGACTTTTTAAATAAAAATTTTTATACTGGATATTCAAATATCAAAATACAACCACTTGTAACCATCAGCTAGCATTAACAGTTTTGAACTCATGACCAATCTGGTTTCCTTTATCCCTCACCCCTTCTTCCCTTTCCCCAGGTTACTTTGAAGACAAATCTAAAGGTTGTATTATTTCATTCATATATATTTCAGTATATATTGAAATTGTGGTATTTCATATCACATCTAAATCCATGGATGATTTCATAATAAATCAAATATCAAGCCAGTTTTGAGGTATCTTTGTCTCATAAAAGGTATTTTTAAACAGTTGGTTTGTTTAATCAGCTTCCATATAAGGTTTGCATATTGTATTTAGTCCATGGGTCACTTAAATCTTTTTTTTTCTTTTTTCTTTTTTTGGATCTATAGGCTTATCCTCTGTCCTTTTTTTCTCCCCTTGCAATTTGTTTTTTTATAGAAATCAGGCTATTTATTCTGTAGAGCTTCTCACATTCTGATTTTGCTGATTGTACTCCCAACGTGCAGCTTGGCATGTCCCTCTGTCTCCTGTACTTGGCCATACTGGTGGTCAGAGCTAGAGGCTTGAGGAGATAGGATCATGTACTTCCATCATGAGGTGCAAATCTCCGGTTGTCTCTTTTTTTGTGATGTTAGTGGCTATTGAGGATCATTGCTTAGATCCATTACTTCAGGCAGACTTTTTTGGAAAGTGCCAGAGAATAAACGCTTTACAGGGTATATCTCTGTCACAACTGTTCGACTTTGCCATTGTAGTCTGAAAACAGTCAAAGACAAGATGCAAAAAAATATAAGCATGACTATGTCCCCTTATAACTTTATTTACAAAAATAGGCATTGGGCCAGAGTTCACCTCTGGGCTGCAGTTTGCTGATCCCTACTTTATCCTAATATATATGATAGTTTTAGAAAACCAATACTAATATTAATACAAACAATAGGATTACTAAAAAACAGTTTAAGATTTCTTTGCCTGTATTTTTGTCCTTAGTTCTTAGTAGAATACTACAAAGAATATGCAGACAAATTACTGTGTTAAAGTCCCATGAACTAACTAATTCCTCCATGTGTAATAATGCCACTAACTCCATAGTTAGGAGTTGTTTCTTTTATTTGTTCTTAGATTTTAGGGATTTTCTTCCTTTGTTTTATTTTATAATTTTGAGAAAAATTGAGATGGTTCCAAAGTCAAATATATAAAACAAAGTATATTTGGAGAAGTCTAGCTTCTGTTCCTACCCCTCCATACTGTTCTTTGTTCTTGATTGGATCACATAGGGATCCTACTTATAGGTAACCATTTTTCAAGATGTTATGGTGTCGTCCTTCCATTTAAAAAAATTTAAGCAAATACACACAGGCATTTTTGAAATAAACATACCACTTTATTCACCTTTTTTTTTTTTAACATTTTTAATGTTTATTTATTTTTGAGAGAGAGAGAGAGACAGAGTGTGAGCAGGGGAGGGGCAGAGAGAGACACACACAGAATCCAAAGCAGACTCCGGGCTCTGAGCTGTCAGCACAGAGCCTGACATAGGGCTCCAACCCATGAACTGCAAGATCATGACCTGACCTAAGTCAGAAGCTTAACCAACTGATCCACCCAGGCACCCCCCCCCCTTTCTTTTTTCATGTAACAATATATCCTGGTGATCACTCCACAGTTGTATGTAGAATTACCCTGCCTTACTTTTTATAGCTCATGGTACTCCATTGTGTGGATGCATCAGAGTTTATTCAACCAGTTCTCTTATGATCTACATTTGGCCCATTTCCACTTGAGTGAAAACAATCATTTAAATCATAGGAACAACAAAATCAAACAGACAAAAAGCCATGCAAATTTAAAATGATTGTTTGTAATTTTCCAATGATTTCCAATTTACAGAAGGAGGAAAAGACATGAAATGAACCCAGATTTCAGCCGACAGTCACATGATAAGAAAAATAAATTGCAGGATAGATCTAAACTAAGGAAAGCACAGTCACTGGTAAGTATTGCTTACAAAAGCTTCCCCACCATAACATTTGTGAAGATTGCTGGATCTCGAATCCTATTTGTGAAACTAAATTTGTTTTTTTTAATCAGAATCATCAAGTGGTGGTTTAAATTCTGGTCTCTGACAAGCTGTGTGACCTTAAAGACATCTTTTATTTAATTTCTCTTAGGTTCTATTTAAAAAAAGTTTTTTGAGTATAGTTGACATACAATGCTGCATTAATTTCAGGTGTATAAAGGAGTGATTTAACATCTCTATATGTTAAGCTTTGCTCACCACAAGTTGTAGCTACCATCTGATGACACCACACAACGCTATCATAATATCAGTGCCTATAATCCCTGTGCTGTACCTTTTATTTATTTATTTTTAATTTTTTAAGTGTTTATTTTTGAGAGAGAGAGGGAAAGAAACAGAGAGACATAGAATCAAGAGCGGGCTCCAGGCTCCGAGCTGTCAGCACCAGCCCAACACAGGGCTTGAACCCACAATCATGACCTGAGCCAAAGTTGGACGCTTAACCAACTGAGCCACCCAGGCACCCCTATAGCTTTTATTACCATGAGACTCTACACCTCTATTTTCTTATCTGCTAAAAAAATAAAAAATAAAAAACAGACTGGATGAAGTGAAATGGATGAATCTGCTTTGAAAGTATACAATATAAAGGGAGCATAATTATCATTGGTTCTTTCTTCTGCTGTGAGTCTGTTGGGGTGGGGGGTCTCTATAGATTATTTCCTTATAGAGTGAAGGTTCCACTGACCTAAGAAAAAGGTATGCTTTCCTGCTCCCAGTGGGGCATGATTATAAAAGTGCATTTGAAGTAACTTCAGAAAAAATGAATTAGGAATTTTTCTTTCCCCAGTTAAAAAAATAGTTAATTGACTACCTAATAAAGTCAGTGATTGTGATTAGGGAACATTATTATTTCAGAGCAGAATTTCCCAAATTGTGGTTCTGTACCCCCAGTGGATCTCTCTCAGCCGGTATGAGTCTTTGGAGCAAAGTAGAAGAGAATAAGGATGGAATAAAAAGTTCATTTTAGCAGTAAAGATTTAGGGAAAAAAAGCTGAGGATACACACGCAAGGAAAATTAATGTAAAGTGGATGTCAATTGGGAGAGGAATAAGTATGTACTCGTGAATAAATCACTTTTATAGCTCTCTTTTAAAGCTCTATTACTTTCTGTTTAAATGTATTTTCAAGTGTTATGTTTCAAAAAAACAAGAGAGCTTTTATAAAATGAGCTTTTTTAAAAATAGGGCAGTCTGTATTCTGAGGGGCCAATTTTGTTGGACTGGATGAGGCTTATCACAGACATATGTACAGATGCCCAAGGGAATGAGGAAGCTGAAAGCAGAGCAGTAAAATTGTCAGTGAAAACCATTAATTGAGAAAAATAACTTTATGAGGCTTATCACATAGGCCATTTAGGCATGCTTCTGCCTGGTTTCCCGGCCCCTTCTGGGCCAGGAGTAGAAGAGAAATCCAGGGGAGAGCCAGGAATTTAAAGCACATAAAAGTTGATGGTTGATGTATGCTTACAAATTATCAGCACAGTCAAACATTTCTCTGGCCTAAAAAACAAAACAAAATCAAAGGCTAAACAGAAGCCTTCCCCATGGGCTTTTGACATTAACCATCTGTCACACACTAGAGGGGCTTGCTTAAGTTAAAAAATTCATTATGTTTATAAACTTTAAAAGTTGTGCTAATTAAAGCTGGAAGGGAAACCAGAGCAAATTAAACAATGATGGAGAACAACGAAGCTATTAATAAAATGAAGTGTGCAATGGTAGTGATCTACTTGTGTTGTTTATGTAAATGTACTAATTATAATCACTATTTATGCTTCGTACTTTTGATAAGGAGCAGAAAGCACAATTAAACCCTCCAAAAGTGTGCTAGGATCTTTTTCTCAGTCTGATCTGGCCGTTTGGGCCACGAGGCTGCGTGTGGCTAAGGTTTCCCCCTCTGCAGGCGGTGGCAGTTTGCTCTCTCAGTGGGCCACGTAGCTCAGAGGAAATAAGCAACCTCCTAAGTGATGCAAGGTGATGGTGCAGATTTTGGAAATGCTGGATGTGGGACCATAGAGAAGAGGAAATGGGTTTTGAAGAAATTAAATTAGGGTACAGAAGGAGAGAAGCAAGGAAAACTCTGAGAGTTGCCACTCTGGAGAGGGTGGTGGACAAAGCCCCATGCAATTGCAGCAGAGGGAACCCTGTGTTCATTTGATAGAAAGGTCTCACATCATTAAGATAGGTGTATGTAGGAAGATTTCAGGAGGAACTAGAGAAACGGGAGCAGGCAGAACTCGGGAACATACTATTAAGGGGAGGATGAGAAGGACAGACCCACAAAGCTCTGCCCAGCAGGTGCCTGACACCTGAACACCGAGTCTTTCTTGCCCCTGTAAGCAGAAAATACTTGGATACTTGGAAAAGGTAGAGCTTTGTGGAATGGAAGGGTTGAAACAGAACAAAGCTCAGGAGTATAAGAGAATACAGAGAATATTCCTTAAGTCATCTCTCCAGGACCATGGCCATGAGGCTACTGAGACCCGTCTTCTTCACTTTTGTCTGTCACGATTTATAGTTTTCAAATATGAGAAATGTCTCCAAAAAGAGAAACCTGCTTAGGGAAACAGTTTCAAATCCACATGTATTATTGTGAACTTGTGATGTTTTGTATTATTTATTAGACTTGAGTTTTCAAAACCTGCCCATTTAAAGCGTACCTGATTTCCATGTATGGCTTTCAATTCTAAAGCTGCCTCTTTACAGCTGCTTCATTTAACCCCTTCTGGTGTGAATCATTGATAGAAGATGGGAATAAAGCCTAGGTCTGATCACTAATGCTTTATAATTTTGAAGATTGTTTATTAAAATTATATAAAGAAATGTCCATTGCTCTTAGTTATTAAAATTTCATAAAGAACAAAGCAATTTAAATATATAAACGCCACAGTACAGCAAGTACTATCGTTTTAAAAAAAATTTTTTTTAAGTTTATTTATTTTGAGAGTGAGAGAGAGCGCGAGCGTGCGCGTGTGCATGGGAGCAAGCAGGGGAAGGGCAGAGAGAGGGAATCCCAAATGGGTTTAGAGCCTTCAGCACAGAGCCAGACATGGGGCTTAACAGGGGGCTCAAACCCAAGAACTATGAGATCATGACCTGAGCCAAATCAAGAGTCACCCAACTGCCTGAGCCACCCAGGGACCCCAGCAAGTACTATCTTAAGAAAATTTTCCATCTTGTATAAAGACACGGGAATTTCTTTTTTTTTTTTTTTCTTTTCCTCCAAATCTTAACAGCCAGACCTACAATGCCTGTTCAGGAAGGGGAAAGAGGGAGCTGTCTCCTTGGGGGAAAGCTTTGATGAGCTTGTGGGGAGGGATGCCACCTTGAGGGCTTGGATGTTACAGGCACCTGGTCTTCAGAGGAAGGGAAACCTGCTCTGCCGGAGATGAGAGGAAGTTTGTTGTTTCTCTTCCAGCTTGGGAGGAGGGAGAGAAGTGGTGGAGAAAGAGCTAGCCAGGTGCTGAGACAGGTCGGGAAGTGAGGCCAGGACCCATTCAGATCCGAATTTATTTGCTGTTACTGAGATGTAAACCCCGCCTTCCATCTCTACAGTAAATTCTCAGTTTACACATGGAAGCAAGATCTCGGAAGTCTAGAAGACAGGAAAAACAAAACCTCCTGGGACAATTCGCAAAAACTGAAGGGTGGGCTTTGGACTTCCTGGGACCTGGACGTAGACTCAGAGGACCCCAGCTGACATCTTGTTTCATGTCATTTTTCTTTTTCTTTTTCCTACCAAGTTAAGTGTAAAAACATTAAGTACCTTTTAGTTCACACTGCTTTTTCTTGGCCATCAGAGAAGTCCTCACTTTCTAGGTTCTGATCTGGCCACGGATTTCAAAAGGCTTGCTGTTTCAGACCATTCACCTAAAGGCTAGTAACAAAAGCCTTTAATTGCCTGCTTACTCTAATTGCTTTAGATAAGACCTTATCTTTTTCTGTACTGTGCTAATTCAAGCTTCTGCAGTTACCTTCCAATGCTTTCCAAGCTAACTTGGTTTTTAGTGTCCTGATCTTTTAAAAGCTTCTGTAAGCTTTGTCACCTTTTTTTCATCCTCTCTCTGAATGAGAAGAGGAGGAAAAAAGAATATACTCCAAAGTGATAGCTGATTCTTGTCGTGAAAGAACAATGGCTTAAGAATCAGGAAAGCCAGTTTTCTGGCCTCTGCTCTACAATTAACTAGCAGTCACTCAACCTTTGAGTTTTCATTTTCCCATTTATAAAATGAGAGTTTGGATCCCAACATCTTTAAAGTCCATTCCTGTCTAACTAAAGCCTGGAGCTGCAGAACCCCACAGTCCCCTGCACATTTATTCCCTGCTTTCTTCTGATGCCAGAGGGACACAGCTGTGACTAAAGTGACTTTGCATAGAATACCAGAAAGAATCAGTCACACTGGTGAGTTCTGATTATAAACCAATGGAAACTGGTTTCTGTCTCCTATCCTTTTCTTTGAACTTCAGAAAATACAATTAACTGTAACAGAAGTATTTACGAAACAAACCTATGCAGTGGTTTACTTACAGGCAGTCTTTAATAGACTTCTTTCAAAGTCTGATGACTTCCCCAGGTGTTTGTTTACTTGGTTTGGATGGGCAGAATTAGAAATCTCAACAGGAGAGATCTTTAATTATTTAGCTCAATCAGTGAAACTCATGAGAGTTCCATTTGGAATACAGAGTAAGAAAGAATATGGGCTTTGTGGTCAGAGAGACCAGAGTTCTTTTACCAAATAGCACAATTTTGGATAAGTGAGTGACCAAACCTTTCTGAGCCTCTATTTCTTCATCTGTAAAATGGGAATAATGATTCCTCCCTTGTAGGATTGTTGTCCGGACTAAATGCCAGGTGTATCTTAGGTATTCAATACTTGTTTGTGTTCTCTTTCATTAAATACCATCTTATCTTGCAGGGCACCTGGCTGGCTCAGTTGGAAGAACATGAGACTCTTGATATCCAGATCATGAGTTCAAGCCCCATGTTGGGTGTAGAGTATTACTTAAATAAACTTAAAAAGAAATACCGTATTATCTTTCACTTTGCTGACCAAGAGTATAGATTTGGGACTCAAACAGCCTAGGTTCAATGCCTGATACCACAATTTTATCTATTTGTTTTTTAAATGTTTATTTATTTTGGTGGGGGGAGGGGCAGAGAGGGAGACAGAGAATCCTAAGCAGGCCTGAACCCTTGAACTGTGAGATCACGACCCTACTGGAGCAGAAATCCGGAGTTGGATGCTCAACCACTCAACTGACTGAGCCACCCAGGTGCCCCTATTTTATTTATTTTTTTAAAAGCTCCAGACCCAACATAGGCTTGAACTCCTGACCCCGAGAGATCAAGACTCTCATGCTCTACCAACTGAGCCAGCCAGGTGGCCCATGGCACCAGTTTTAGTAGCTCAGTGATTTGGGTCAGTTATTAACCTCTGGGAGGTTCTGTTTCCTCATCTGTAAAACCGAGTTAGTAATGACACTAACCTCACAGAGTTAGCAGAGGGGGTATAAGGCATTTAGTAGTGCCTAGCTCAAATAAGTATTCAGTAAGTAGCAGCTGGTGTAGGTAATAGCAATTACCAGTATCAAAATCCCACCAGGTCACTGCCTGAGGCTGCAGGAGAGAGAGAGAGAGAGAGAGAGAGAGAGAGAGAGAGAGAGAGCACTGATGGTGAAAGCTGCAGAGGTCAGGCAGCAGCCAAGGGTCATTGGCAGCAGGCTCCCCCCCCTATGGAATAAGCTTCTCTTTCTCGCTTGTACTTTTACTTGCCCTCAGTTTTAGCTCCCTTTGTCTTTTCTTTCCCCCATGGTTTCCACTATGTGAAAAGTGATTGCATCCATAGCGGCTGAAATGTGAGCTACCTATTTTTTTTCCTGCATGGTCTCTGTACAGTCTGCCCCTGCACATACATACATGTATTCCCTCCTCAGCGACATTGGGTCTTTTATTCCACACTCAGACTGAACTGTGCATGTGTGTTGAACTCAATACTGTGAATTCTGTGCTACCTGTGCTCCTCTGCTTACTAATTACAATATTGGTTGTTGTTAATTTTGATGCCTATGAGAAGAAAGGGCCTAATTGCTAAGAATCCTGGGGGCAAAATTAACTCTCAGGAAGGACCACTACTTAGAGTCTTTGCATTTATCCTTTGCCTCTAAAAGAGCATAGTTTTCTTGTTCTGTCTTGTTATCTTCTTTGTGATGCTTTGCATAATAAATTACCCTGGCATTTCCAACAAGAGTGACTCTACCTGCTTCTCTTTTACTGAATATTTATTTTTATTTAAAAAAAATTTTTTAATGTTTGTTTATTTTTGAGAGACAGAGACAGAGCGCCAATCAGAGAGGGGCAGAGAGGGAGACACAGAATCTGAAATAGGCTCCAGTCTCTGAGCTGTTAGCACAGAGCCGCATGAGGGGATCCAACCCATGGACTGCGAGATCATGACCTGAGCTGAAGTCAGACACTTAACTGATTGAGCCACCTAGGCGCCCCTCACTAAATATTTAGACTGTAGCATAATGGCTACTTGTTTTTAAGAGTTACACACAAAATATTTGACACAAATTGGCTTCTCTTTGGGATCTATCAGAAGAGAAGAACCATGTTTGTGAGTTATGTAATATTATTAGTTATATACATATTAGTTATGACAGATATTTAATCACTGTTACTGCTGGGTTTAAAATATATATGTATGTGGACTGCCTGGCTGGCTCGCTCAGTAGAGCATGTGGCTCTTGATCTCAGGATTGTGAGCTCAAGCCCCACTTTGGGCCTAGATCTTACTTAAAAAAAAAAAAAAAGTATAGGGGCGCCTGGGTGTCTCAGTCAGTTGAGTGACCAACTTCGGCTCAGGTCATGATCTCACAGTTTGTGAGTTCAAGCCCCGTGTCGGGCTCTGTGCTGCCAGCTCAGAGCCTGGAGCCTGCTTCTGATTCTGTGTCCCCCTCTCTGCCCCTCCCCAGCTCATGCTCTGTCTCTCTCTGCCTCAGAAATAAATAAAAATTTAAAAAAAGTATATATATGTGTATATATATATATATATACACACACACACATGTATGTATATATATATATATATACACACACACATTCATACATACACACATTTATATGTGAATGAACACATACATATATGTATGTAGTATATATATTTGGGTGTTGTATAACATTTAGTAATATAGCATTTCACCACAAACTACATTAGAAGCCAATTTTCTAAGACATGGCTGTTTTGAAATCCGAGTTCACAATCATTACTAACAAACAACCATTGGAACTTTATGGCCTATGCACATTTTGCAACACACCCCTACCTTACTTCACTTGGGAGACTGAATGGTGCCATCACATAGTCTTGGATTTAAATTTCAAAACCCTGCCTAGGGGTTGCTTAGTCTTCCTCCACAGCTCACAGCTCTACCCCAAGGTTCCTTAAAAGATAAACCAAGAGCAAAGACAAGCCTGTGACTTCTTTAAAACTCTGTTGATGATTTTTCCCTAACACCCTCCCTCTGTTTCTCACAGAAGCAGAGTGAGCAAGGACAAAAAGGGAACACCCTCTTCATAGTGTTGACCAAAGCACGGGCCCCCTGGAAGGGTGACCCACATGGCTCTGAGCAGCAATCTGGGGTCCTAAGCAGGCAGGAGGACAGCAGGGAGCCATCTCACAGAATTCTCAGATTGAAAAATCCAGGAAGCAGCTCCATTCTGGAGAGATTAAGCATCCAGAACTCTAAGACTTTCTTCCCAGAAGGAAACCCCTCTCAGGCGAGCACTCCTCAGCCACCTTCTCTGTCCTCTGAACCTTTGTCCCCACCAGTGACCCTTACTTATTGCTAAACCCATATCCTATGCTGAGACAATTTCTAAGAGTGAGTTGAAGCTGTATTTATATGACGAAAACAAAATACTTCTGACTTTATTATTTTCAAATACAATATTCCATGTTTATACATAGTATTACCACATTACTCTTGAACTGGATGTCATAAGAAAGTGTTGAGTGTAGATTTTTGTAAAAGAGGAAGGTGGATAGGGTCTCCTACGGAGTGAAGATTGTTTACCTTTCTTCCTTACCTTTCTTTACCATATCACAGGCTTGGGAAGATTAAATGAAATAATAAAGGTATGACACAGCACAAGGCAGTCAGATATGTGCGATTGTTTTTACTGGTATTTCTAGAAGGATGATTGACACACAGCAGGGGCTGTCATTATGGTTACTATATCTATCTGTTTTCCATATCTAGACACTCCTTACCTAGTCTATTCTCTTAAATGATCCCTGGCTTTATCCAGTGGTGTTGTTTGTATCAATGATCATTTGCAAGTTTCTGCAGATAATGTGAATGGAGAACCAGAAAACAAAATTGAAGTGGGGAGTGACACCCAGAAGTATATTCAAGCTGCTATACACAATTCAAGCTGCTTGTTCCTGGGTTGATAGCCCTTCTTGGGTCATAGCCTCCTATAAGGTCCTACCCTTTCTTGGGTCTCTCAGCTCCATAGCCTCTCCCCATTCTCACTCTTCTGTGCCCAATAAAATGACCATCCAGTCTGAGGATAGGAATTTTCTATCTCTACTTCAAAGTCCACCTGCAAGGTGCTTTCAGCCATTGCCCTGAAATGAAAGAGGAAAAACCATTCATATATTTATTCATTTATCCAACAAATATTTACAGGTACAAGGGTGGGCATTAGGGATACGACCATAATAAGATACAGTCCCTGCCCTCCAGGGGCTTACAGGCTGGAGGGGGAAAGCTTCCAATCAAGGAAGGGGTAACTCCTAGGTATCTGGATTGGACAGTTGTGTTAATGCTCATACCACCCATCACTGAGACTGGAAATGCAGCAGGACATGCTAGGTGTGAGAGACCTGTAGGAGTACCAGTGTACATATTCAGAAGAGAGCTGAATTTATGAGCCAAGAGCTCAGGAGGGACAGCGGGGCAAGAGATATAAAACCAGCAATTGAAGATGTAGGTACTGATTGCCTAGGAAGTGGGACAAGAGCAGAACCCTGAAGACTTCTGTTATGTAAAGCATGGCCTTTACATATAAATGTCTTCCCTTTTAAAGACAGGCTGACGAGACATAGAAATATTATTGGGTAGGGGCACCTGGGTGGCTCAGTCAGTTGAGCGTCCAGCTTCAGCTCAGGTCATGGTCTCACAGTTTGTGAATTTGAGCCCTGTGTCGGACTCTGTGCTGACAGCTCAGAGCCTGGAGCCTGCTTCAGATTCTGTGTGTCCCTCTCTCCACCCCACCCCTGCTTGTGCTCCGTCTCTCTCTTTCAAAAATGAATAAACATAAAAAGAAAATTAAAAAAAATTTTTTTAAGAAATATTGTTGGGTAAATATCTCTAGAAAAAGAACAGTAAGGGGCTCCCAGCTGGCTTAGTTGGTAGAGCACATGCTCTTGACCTCGGAGTCATAGGTTCCAGCAGTATCGCATGTAGGGTGTAGAGAAAAGAAAAGAGAACAGTAAGTTCAACCAGCAAGAAAAATGTATTTAAATGATAGATGGTCCCTGGCTTTGAATGGTTTGACTTAGGATTAACCATCTACTTTACAATGGTGAAAGGTGATTCATATTCAGTAGAAACCATACTTTGAGTTTGGGATTTTGATCTTTTCCCAGGCTGGCAGTATGTAGTACACCACTCTCTTGTGATGCAGGCCGGGGAGTCACAGCTCCCAGTTGGCCACACAATCACGAGGGTAAACAGCTGATAGTTACAACCATTCTGTATCCACACAACCATTCTGTTTCTCACTTTTTTAAAAAATTCAATACATTATATAAGCTATTCCACACTTTATTATAAAATAGGCTGTGTGTTTGATGATTTTGCCCAACCGTAGGCTAATGTAAGAGTTCTGAGCATGTGTAAGGTAGGCTAGGTTGAGCTATCTATCATGGTCGGTAAGTTAGGTGTATTAAATGCATTTTTGACTTACAATATTTTCAATTCATGGTGTGTTTATCGGGACATAACCCCATTGTGAGTTGAGAAAGATCGGTAGCTGATTCCCTCCCTCTTCATGGGAATAGACTGAGGAAAGGCTACAGCAGATGGACCTGCGCGTAAGTAAAGATAATTTATAACAACATTGTTTGTAAGAGCAACTTCATCCATTTGGGATTCTTGTGGAGGCTTTGGCACCAAGGCACAATCAATTATTAACTCCATTTCTAGCTCCTCTCCCCTCTCTGGAGGATGGTCAATGGGGCTGAAAATTCTAAGCTTCTAATCATGGCTTGGCCTTTCTGGTGACCAGTCCCCATCCAGGAGCCCATCCAGAGTCCCCTCAATAAAATAAAAGATGCTTCTAGTGGTCTTATCACTCAGGAAATTATAAGGGTTTGAGGAGCCCTGTGTCAGGAACATGGAGCAGAGACCAATGTGTATTTTTCTATTATCTTATAACCAATGTTGGTATAAAACACATTGCCAGTTATTTTAACCAGATCATCAGATGCTGTGGATCAAGGTACAAGACTGTCAGATTTATACCCTTTATGTAACTTCCTCATGTTCCCCTTAAATCTTATCTTTTCTCTTGCAATGATGGAAATTAAAGCCTTAAAATGAAGAGGGTCTACGAACTTGTTTTCAGGGACAGAAAGAAAGGGTGAATGTATGGAGACCATCTTTCTAGAGCCAATCTTAGAGGAAAGAGGAACCCAACAGTCTGGATAGGCAATTACAATTACCAAGGGGGGGGGGGGCGGGGGGGTATGGGGAAGTGAATCCCTGGGACCTGTCTTGGCTAAAAAGGAGAGCTTGAGAGGAGCCTGCCTCAGCATGTGAACTTTCCCCTGGGGACTTAGGAGAAAGAAGATCCTCAAATGCAGTGATAAATAAGCTTTGCAGAGTAATAGGATTAAATTTGAAACTGTTACAGGTGAGGTGTGACTAGCCCATTCTTGTATCCCAGAGAACTAGTCCTTTTTTTTCATTCAACAAGTATTATTTTTATCTTCATTGTCACTAAAATAGCAGAAAGGAACACCTCTGTTCTCTTACTTTATGTTGATCTTAGAACAACACTGAAAATGCTTATTCTCCATTGCTCTTAAAACAACACTGAAAGCTGCAAAAGAGGGAAGATTACCTACTCCCTTTTCTTCCCCTTTTTCCTCTCCAAGTCTAACAACTTACTACATTTAATTCCAGTTTTACCTACTTTTTTCCAGAAAAATTATCAACAAAAATGTATGGATCTCCTATAGGCAGGAACCCATAGATTCACTGAAGTGTAAGATTCCAGCTTTGCTCTCAGGAAGTTTGCAGTCCCGTCAGGGCACAAATAATTACATCCAGGAATGAATACAAATGTCCAAGAACATATGTTTAATGCAAAGTCTGAGGTCTCAACAATAATGGCTTCAGGAATCCAGCTGAGGCAGAAATCCCTGAGGGTTAAGACACTCAAGCTTCTTGGAGAAGGCAGACGTTGAAGGATAGGCTAGATGTAGAGAAGGAATAGAGTGCATGAGGCTAGTTAGTGTAGGGTGTGAGGCAAGACCAGACAGTGTGGGGCATCTTTGTGGAATAATGAGGGACCTGGTTCCCTGGAGAAGAGAACAGGAGACAGCAGTCATTGGCTAAATCAATTTCTTTTTTTGTTTATTTATTTTTGAGAGAGACAGAGACAGAGCATGAGTGGGGGAAGGGCAGAGAGAGAGCGAGACACAGAATCAAGAGCAGGCTCCAGGCTCCCAGCTGTCAGCACAGAACCCAACTGGGGGTTCGAGCCCACAAACCGTGAGATCATGACCTGAGCCAAAGTCAGACGCTCAACCAGCTGAGCCACCCAGGCGCCTTGGCTGAAGCAATTTTTGATTTGTCAAAGTCTAAAGTAGGATTACTCCCAGATTAACAGAAACTCTGCTGCAAACATACCCAGCAGAGCATGAGAGGGATATAACAAACCATCTGATGGCTGGGCCATGCCAGCTGAATATGGAATCTTGTGGGATCAGGATTTTATTCAGGGAGTGCTACAGTATCTGCATACCTGCCCCGTCTCCTTGTGTCTCTCTGCTGAGTAGGGGCCAACGCAAGAGGGAACTTACAAGACTCCATTGCTCCTGCTCCTGCAAGCTCAGCTTGTATTCTTTCTTTCTCTTGTTCTCCCCATCTTCCCCTCTTCCCTTTCTTGCTCACGGCCAGATGTCCAGGAGATATCCTTTCTCACTGTGAGTTTTGGTTGGAATGTCAACCAAATATGTTGCCTTTGCCTTTTTAGAACGAATGTGTGCATGCACAGATTAGTAGTGAGTGAAAATATGGGAACTCTACCTATGCTCACCTGGCCTGAGAGTCCCAAGTCTCCAAACCAGGCCCTAATACCTTTCTGGTCTGTGAACTTGGGCTGGCACGTAAACTGCCTGTTCTTCGGTTCCATTTATTTGTAAAACGGAGATGCTAATGCCTCCCTACCTACCTTGCAGAATTTTCTTGAGGTTCAAATGAAATTATGGTTGTGAAAGCACTTTGGAGACTAACAAACTTATTATTAGCTCAAGGTGAAGATTGCATGGGGGTTAAGGGTGGTCATATTGGGAAGTCTCATTAAATCCCATCCAGCCCTACAATTTGATAAAGCTGTTTTGTGTCATTAAAATAAGTTTAATTATATGGCTTCCTCTGTGATGTTTTGGTGGCTGTCACTTGAACGATGTGTTTTTCCTCCCTAGATATCCCTGAGTGCAGAACCCAGCCCTGCTCTACAAGTTCCTGCTCATCTCGCCTGGTCTCCTCATGGGTGGGCAGGGCTCCCAGCCACCGAAGCAGCAACGAAAATCCTCACACAGCATCTCCAGAGGCACTCTGGGCTTCAGGCAATACCCATCCAGGCTCCAGATCCGGAGGCAGTTTAAACCTGTGAAAGGATTTCGATAGAAATGACAAGGTGCTCTACACATTGGAGAGTTGGATATTACTTGGCTCATCTATTAGAAACTTTCTGCTTAGGTACCTTCTTGGGATAGCGAATTCTACAGTATTTCAGTGAAAGGTATTCATGGCATAAGTGCTGACATATTTACAAACTTAGATACAAATGTGATGATAGATACCATGTGGTTGATAAAGGGACACAAGTTAGCAGGGATGGCCTGCTTTTGAAGAGGCAAAAGGGAAAGGGCCTGTTGTTCTAGAACCCAGGAAGAGCTGTAGCCACAGGAGAGGGGCCATCCAACAGGATATATTCTGTGTGGTGCAGGAACACAGCCACTTCAGAAACCAAGGCCTAGTGGGGAAGGAAGAGGGAGAAGACCCAACCCCTCTCACTCCCTGGCCCTCGACACTCTGACAGTGCTTGGCTTTGGTCAAACCTATCTGGAAGTCAGAGAACAAAGAAGCCTGGGGAGAAATGTGGCCAGGAGTGGGTCGGAGGGGTGTTTCCCAAGAAGGAATTACATTTCCCAAGAAGGAATTATAACTGATAGTCAAGCAACGTAAGTGGGCTCGAAAGAGTAATTTGGAAAACAGAAAATGTTACTTAGCTGCAAAAGTATTAGTCATACATTCTAAACTAAACCACCTACTCATGTACCATTTCAAGGTCCCAGAAGTTACCATTCTAAGATACTAATTTACCTAAGTAAAGCAGAATGATAGAAAAATAAATGTTTGTCAATCGTGCAATGCTGAACATGTTATGTTATTATATTGCATACCATAACATGTACTAATATACACATATTTGAATGTTTAAAACATTCAAATTCCATGGTCTGGAAGCATGGCCCAGGATACAGTGGTTTGGATGCCCAAATGATTGGTGTAGGACAAAACATGACCAGCTTACATTTGATTAATTTGCACCACCCAAGGTGACACTAATACAGGACTTTGAGGCAGAGAAGAAGGAAAACACACCCAGGATGAGACTTGTGTTCTTCCCATGGGCAAAGCAGCTGGCTATCAGTTAAGATTTCTTCTTCCTGAAGACTGAGCCCTCATGGTCGGCCCCCAGGAGTCAGGTGCAGCTGTGTAGCTGGGATGGCTTACAGCTTCTGCCCTGCTTTGCCCCCACTGGCCCCCCTGGGTTATGTCAGGATCCAGTCACATTGTGGGCATATGTTTGAATGGAGTATGTCCCCAGTATCTTCTGAAATAAACCAGAATCCTCTGGGGCAAGGACCTATCAAGAGAAAGAAGGGCTCGTCTAGTACAAGTGGTTTTATCTTAAGCTGTATTTGAGTTACCTATTCCTATAAAACAAGCCACACCCAAACTTACAACAAGAGCCTGTTATTCCCCTCATAACTTTGCAGTTTGGGAGGGTTCTGGGGAAGAACTTGCCTCTGATCCACACAACACCCTCTGGGTATTCCCAACAGAGGGATGGAAGAGCCAATTCCAAGATGGTGTAGGGGCACGGTTGGGAAGTGCATGCTAGCCTTCCACTGGGCACTCAGCCAGGGCTGAGGGCAGGAGCCACTGTTGTTCTTCATTTGGGCTGGGATTACCTAGCATGGGGGTTGGGTTCTAAGGATGAGCATCCCAAGAGAGACACAGGTGGACTCTGAATCACCTCTTTTGTCTTAGCCTTGGAAGTATCTTGGTGTCACTCCATTGTTCCCTGGAGACCACAGAGGTTTGTCCAGTTTCAAGCAGAGCGGGCATAGAGTATGGAGAGTTGCAAGGTTCTGGAAGAACATGTGGGATGAGAAAGAGAATTGTGACCATTTTGGAATAGACTGTCTACCTCAGGGTAATGGTTCCCTGTGTGCCCCTTAATTATCATTGGTCACAGCACAGTTATATGAACTAGGTACACCCATGGAATTCGTCTGCTTGGGCAGCATAACAAAATACCACAGACTAAGTGGCTTATATAGCAGACAGTTATTTTCTCAAAGTTCTGGAGGCTGGAAGTCCAAGATCAAGGTGTTGGCGTGGTTGGTGTCCGGTGAGACCTCTCTCTTTGGGTTGCCTTTTCTTTGTGTGCTCACATTGCCTTTCCTTGGTACCTGTGGAGAGAAAGAGAGAGAGATTTCCCTGGTGTCTCTTCTAAGGACACAATCCTCTCAGATCAGGACCCCACTCTTATGGCCTAATTTAACCCTAACACTTTTTTGTTGGCCTGATCTCCAAATACTGTTAGTCTAGGGGTTAAGACTACAACATATGAATTTGCATGGGGACACAAGCATTCGGTACATGACATCCCCCATAGTGATATGAATTAGATGACAATTGATAAAGATAAATTTATATTGATATTCATTAATTCAAGAGAACTTTATTGAACACCTACCTTGTGCCAGGCGCTCTGCTAGGCTCTGGGTATATAGGTAGGAGAAAAAAACCTTCCTACCTTTAGTGGGTTTATAACTGGGGGGGAGGGGGGGAGGGGAGACAAAGCAGCCATTAAAAGAGAGTGGTAGCTACAAGTTGTGCAGGCTGTGACAGCTCTGGGAAGGGACAAATAAACCGCTCCTTGTGGAGCTGCACAAGTGATGTCCAAGCAGAAACGGAGGATGAGTAGTGTTGAGCAGTAAATGGGAGGTGGGCCAAACAAGGGGAGGCATTCAAGAGAAAGGAATGAGCCATGCAGAGACCCAAGGCAAAACTAGGGTGACCGCCATTCTGGTTTGCACAGCCCTGTAGTGCCTAGTCTTTGTACTGAGGTCCCACATCCAGGAACACCTTAGTCACTGTGCCTTCCTGATCCTTGGCACTGTCAATAGTTCAGTACAGCTGGCACACAGAGGGGGTGCAGTGGCGGCAGGATTGGTGACAGAGAAAGCTGAAAAAGTAGGTGGGAGTCCAAACGGGAACCAAGACGTGCTAAGGAATGAAGACTTCATTTTGAAAGAAGTTGAGCAACCAATAAATGATCTCCCACAGGAGAGTGACTGGCTCAGATTTGGATGGAGGAAGAGCTCTATCTTCTGGATAATTAGGAAGAGAGACAATTCTGGGGGTGCCTGGGTGGCTCAGCTGGTTAAATGTCTGACTCTTGATTTGGGCTCAGGTCATGATCTCATGATTCATGGGATGGAGCCCTGTGTTGGGCTCTGTGCTGACAGCATGGAGCCTGCTTGGGATTCTCTCTTTCCCCCCTCTGCCCCTACCCTGCTTACACACGAGTGCTTGTTTCTTTCTCTCTCTCAATATAAAACAAATAAAACATTTTTTTAAAGGGACAATTCTGGAAGTCAGTGAGGAAGCCATTGTGGATTTCCAGGGACAAGACAAGTTTGACTTAAAATAATGCAGGCGGTTGGAGAGAACCCTAGGATTTAGAATATCTTGAGGAGAAGTAACAGAACTTAGAAATGGAGATAAGGGGGTGAGAGACAAGGAGAATTCAAGGATGACTCCCAGATTTCTGGCTTGGGCAGCTGGAAATGGCTTGGAAATACCTTCCCCACACCACCCTACATGAGAATACCAACAAAGCAACTATTCTTCTGCTTCCCATACAGCTCTTGCTGACCTAAAAATTCTGTTATTGCGCCACTGACCCAGAAGTCTCAGCCATAGCCATTAGACTTACAGGAACAGAAGGAGGCTGGGGGCCAGAGGGGGAAGAAGATGGGCGTTTATTACATGCAGTACTTCCTAAATGATTTATGTACTCTAGCTTATTTAACTTTCACAAGAATCCTTGGAGGTAAGCAGGCTGTTACCCTCATTTCATAGCATCAGATTGGGGATAAGGTGATGTGCTGCAGGTGGCCACAGCTACAGGCAGCAGAGCTGGGCTTTAAGCCCAGATGTGTTTGACCATGAAGAACTGTTTTTTTGTTTTGTTTTGTTTTGTTTTGTTTACATGATGCTGCTTCCCTAATGAACATTAGTTTCTACCTGATTGGATATTTTGTCACATCTACTGCCATGCCTAGCTCCATTTTCATTCAGCATTGAAGAAGGATGAAGACCAAGGGAAGGACTCTACCCACTCTAAGAGGCCAGCTGGAGGTTGCTTCTGGGAGCAAGGATTGCGAGAGAGCCTTTTAATCCTTTATAACTGGTCCCCATACTTGTCATATGTGCAAAAACCCTAAAGCCAGACGACCTATGTAATTATTTTTGTGAGCATCGGGGCCAAGGGAAGCTATGAGACAGTGTCCCAGTCAACAGCCAGTTTAGGGAAGGAGGAAGTGTCAGGAGATGAAATTCAAGAGATAGGGAGCTAGGGGAGAGACACAAAAGGGAAGAAAGGAACACGGGATGAGTTCCCAGGGCCTCCCTCCAAAAGATAGGTGAGCTTGTCTAAACCTTGCAAAGAGCTCTGGAAACCTAACAGCTAGACCCCTGTGGCCCCTTCATGGAGGCTGCCCTCCCAGCTCAGGGACACCCTGCATATGGAACCTTAAGAGAATCTCCAGTGCCAACCACAGCTCTTCTTAGCCAGCCGGATTTACATTTTGATACAAATTTTGGCTTATCCCCTGCGAAGTATTAATCTTTCTGTATCCACATAGCAATCTATCCATTTTGCTTCTAGTCATCTATTGTTATTTCTGCAATATTTTACTCTCCCCACCCCCCACCTGCCTTCTAAATTTTTTGTTAACGTTTATTTTATTTTTGAGAGAGAGACAGAACGCAAGCAGGGGAGGGGCAGAGAGAGAGAGAGGGAGACCCAGAATCCGAAGCAGGCTCCAGGCTCTAAGCTGTCAGCACAGAGCCTGACCACGGCTCAAACCCACAAACTGTGAGATCATGACCTGAGCCTAAGTCAAAAGCTTAACCAGCTGAGCCATCCAGGCGCGCCCCCACCTGCCTTCTAGATTGGGAATTCTTCAGAGGATCCCAGTTTCACTTGCTCTGTATTTCCACATTCTCTTTTATGCAGTAGGCACATGATTGGAGTTTGACTTGTCATTGGAATGTCATCAGAAGGTCTGAAATGTTCATTTCTCAGCGGGCTTCCTTATCCACTGACACTGGCAGAGAAAGGGCACAAGAGGGCGCTCCTTCCTCTCTTATCTCAGTCCAGGGAGCAGCACCTTTTCTGCCCATTTATGTCTCTTGAAAATTCACCATATGTTTTCACTCTTATGTGGATCCTGAGAAACTTAACAGAAACCCATGGGGGAGGGGAAGGAAAAAAAAGAGGTTAGAGTGGAAGAGAGCCAAAGCAAAGAAGACTCTTAAAAACTGGGAACAAACTGAGGGTTGATGGGGGGTGTGAGGGAGGGGAGGGTGGGTGATGGGTATTGAAGAGGGCATTTTTTGGGATGAGCACTGGGTGTTGTGTGGAAACCAATTTGACAATAAATTTCATTAAAAAAAAAAAGAAAAGAAAATTCAGACATGGCTGACATGGGTGAAGACATATTTTTGCTCCTATTGGGGAGAGGTTTGGGACAATTTTGAATATTTATACAGACACCCTTAGGGAAATATGTATTCAGCTCAGGTCTTTGATTTCATTTGAATCAAATACCCAAAAAGTCAGAACTTTGAGGAAGAAATATATATTTTAAAAAGTAACCTACCACTTTATACCCATTAGGATGGCTATTGTCGAAAACATCAATAACAAGTGTTGACAAAGAATGTGGAGAAACTGGAACCTTTGTGTATTTGTTGGCAGGGTTGTAAAGTGACAAGTGCTATGGAAAAATTAAACATGGAATTACCTTATGATTCAGCAATTTGGGTATAAACCAAAGCAATTGAGAACAGGGACTCAAAGAGATACTAGTATACCCATGTTCATAGCAGTGTAATTTATAATAGCCAGAAGGTGGACGCAGCACAAGGGTCCATTGACAGATGAATGGAGAAACTAAGTGTGATCTATACATACACTGGAATATTATTCAGCCTTAGAAAGGAAGGAAATTCTGACACAGGCTACAACATGGATGAACCTTGAGAACATTACGCTAAATGAGAGAAGCCAGCCTGGCTGGCTCAGTTGTTGGAGTGTGCAACTCAGGCTTGATCTCAGGCTTGTGGCTTTGAGCCCCATGATGAGTGTGAAGATTACTTAAAAAAAAAAAAAAAAAAAAAGAATCTTAAAAAAAAAAGAAGAGGGGTGCCTGGGTGGCTCAATAGGTTAAGCATCTGACTTTGGCTTGGGTCATGATCTCACGGTTTGTGAGTTTGAACCCCGTGTCAGGCTCTGTGCTGACAGCTCAGAGCCTGGAGCCTGCTTCGGATTCTGTGTCTCCCCCTCTCTCTGCCCCTCCCAAGCTCATTCTCTGTCTCTCAATAATAAATAAATGTTAAAAAAAAAAAAAAAAAGAAGCCAGTCACAAAGAAGAATTACTATATGATTCCACTTACATGAAGAACCTAGAGTAGGCAAATTCAAAGAGATGGAAGTAGAATAAAGGTTTCCAGGGTCTGTGGAAGGGGGAAGAATGGGGAGTTAGTGTTTAGTTGGTACAGAGTTTCTGCTTTGGAAAATGGGTGGTGGTGCCAGTCACACAACAATGTGAATGTACTTAGTGCCACTGAATCGTACACTTGAAAATGGTTAAGACTGAAAACAAATGGTTAAAATTGTAAATTTTACGTTATGGGTATTTTATCACAATAAAAAGGAAGAAGGGAGAAACACCCAAAATGTACAGTTACCAGTACTAAAATAGAAGCAAGTACTGATGATGGAGAAGCAGCTTATTTAAAATTTTTTAAATGTTTATTTATTTTTGAGAGAGAGAGAGAGAGAGAGAGAGAGAGAGCGTGAGTGGAGGAGGGGCAGAGAGAGAGGCACAGAGCTGGATGCAGGGCTTGAACCCAAGAACTATAAGATCGTGACCTGAGCTGAAGTCAGATGCTCAACCGACTGAGCCATCCAGGCACCCCAGCGAAACAGATTATTTTATGTGGGGAGAGAGACTAGGAAAAATTATAATCAGGGATAACACTGATCTGGATCTTAAAGGATGTATGTCTTTTTTTTTTTTTTATTAAATTTTTTTTTTCAACGTTTATTTATTTTTGGGACAGAGAGAGACAGAGAATGAACGGGGGAGGGGCAGAGAGAGAGGGAGACACAGAA